CATGTGCGACTATCTTCAAAACGGCCTTCGACTTTCGAACTGAAATTCCAATTTTAACTCTATGTTCGTGGCAAATTGATGCGGGGAAAAATCGCAAGGAAATAGTATTACAGTTTTTCCCAACTGCTAACGTCCGTTTCTCGAAACTATACTTCCGTTTTCAAAACTATTTGGACAAATCCCAAAACTCTGCAAACTTTTCACAAAATTTAACATCCGACTTCATTGCTAACGTACGAAAAGCGCGTTTTTCATATCTTTACGTACCTTTTTCGAAACCTAACGTACAGAAAAGGATAAGAAGACCGATTCGCGACAAGTGCGGACGATGGATGCATCACTTCTGACGGCAATCTCTATCCTCCAAAATCCCTTCCAGCCAATCGCATAGGTTTTCCCATCGTCCAGAGTTGTCAGAGCTGAATGCTCCTTCTCAAACGTTGAAATAATTTCTTACGTCGATACCGCAATATAGTTGGCAGGCAATAATGCAGACTGCTATTCAGAAAAATCCAAAATACCCGATCCTGAGTATTTACTTACGATTAATTTAAATTACAATATAATCAGCTAAAAAGGGTTGAAATGAGGTCATTTTTTTAAATCATAGGCTACAAAATTGTTATGACCTTGGGACTCATTTTCGTTCGTAGATATGAGCAGAAATTTGCACTTTCCCGTTCAACGAAGGCGAGAGGGGAAGAATGGGAGGGGGGGGGGAGTAGTTCGTGTGCTTTCAAGCAGCTCCTCATCCACATATCTCATGCGAAATCATCTCAATGGGCGGCTTTATGGCTTTTACAAGAGTAAATCTATGCTGGTTTGATCCTGGTTGACCACTGTTGAAACACCCGCCGTACACACATCCACTCAAGAAGCGAGCCTAGTTTGTATAAATTGTCAGAGTAGAAGTTGAGGACAAGAGGATAAGTCCTCATTGTATGATCCGCAAAACTGTAAAAATATTTTACCAACAACAAATATCAGAGAGAAACGACGTCAGTGTATTGGCACGACCACATCATCGGTCAGATATAGCGCCATCGATTATATTTAAAATTGTCATACGGCCAAACGTCCTTCACCAAAACATATTTTCCAATAGAACACATTGCTGGTGCCCTTTAGAACGCATTTAAGGCACTCGCGTCAAAACTTAACGTCCTTGCCTCAAAAAGTAAGGTACGCTCCATTGTTTGACATTGGGGAGGTTCTGGTCGATTTCACCAGGTATGGCTGACAGGGCTGGCATCGATCCGTGAGACTCGTCGCCTTCCCATAAACAGTAATGGATCGTCCTGAGAGTTTTGCCGAAGGTGCCTTGAGTTTTGACTCCAGGTATGTTAGAAATTGAATCGTAGGACGTTCTGTTTCGACTTTTGGGGAACGGAAATCGAATCTCGACAACAGTACGTACGGTTTTGGCATGTGTACGTTAAGTTTTGAAAGTCATCATCCATCGAGAAATCGCAGATATGAGGGCATTGTGCATTACCCTAGCCTGGTTGCGAGAAGCTCACATAGTTTTCTCGATCCCGTACGTCCAACGTGGAGTCTTACTGGTGAAATTGAAGCGGATCATGAAAATACTTGAAATATTAAGCTCGAAAAAAAAGAAGAGAAACCCATATCTGGACTCCAGAAGTCTTCGTGACCCTACGAAAAAAAAAGTTTATCAAATGTGAAACCTAATAAATTTTTACCTACTAGAGGCAGTGACCTATAGACGTGTATGTATCTTCATGGTTCAGAGTTGGAGTTTTCCCCTCGGTCAAACATTTCTTTCTTTTATTTTCTTTCTGTATGATACATGAGCGAGAAATCTATGACAAGAAGGAATACTAAAGGTCCCGAACTATGGATTTCATCGCATGACGTTAACTTGAGTTTAAAAATAAGAGAAACCGGCTGAAGGGACTCTTTCTTGACTGTCCATAGACATTCCTTACCTCGTACGTTAGAATATTGAAGAGCGTACTTTGATTTTGATAAAGGGACGCACTTTTGACTGTCGGACGCATGGATGTGAGAAAAGAGCGCAGAGATTTGCGGATCGTACGTTAAATTTTGAAAAATGTCCATCAAGATATGAAATAGGGCTCTAGCAATTGGGAAAAACTGTATCATACCTTGAATCTTGAAATTACTGGTGTAGTGATTTTGAGTAATTCATTGAGGATATGGAAACTACCACAATGCCCCAGAGGAAGACGAAGGGCGAAGGAAGGCCTTGAATGCCTTTGAAATATGGTTTTCACGTGACTACAATCGAGGCTAGAGTGGGCGAACGCCCACTCTGGCCTCGATTTATCGAAAGTGGCTGGATTGATGGAAGCATCGTTAATTCCTTCTCGTTTCGAGGGGTGAGAAAAGTGCTATCATACAGTAGTTCCTTCTCTGCCCCTCCACGAACGGTATTATGTCGTGGGCTATTCTTTCCCTGCCGAAAGCCGGGAAGCCATTTTCATCATCGGCCGTCCGCTTCTCGCTTCTGGACGTTCCGTTGTTCACGATGTGCCGGAAAAGAGGCCAGGGGCCTGCACGCCGATGTCGCCAGCTTTCGCAGGAGACCGAGGTAGACCCAATGTTGCAACGGATGCATGCCTATAACGAGCTTCGAGTGGCTCGCGAGTACAGTGGATACCGCAGAGATCGAGCGAACCCAGTCCAATAGTGGGCCTACACTGTTAGCAGAAAGGGTTCAGAGTTTAACCTAGATAAAGGATAAACCGTAAAAAAAAACCTGTTAGATAACTGTGAATAACCATTTAAAAGGGTTAATTGGATGCTCATTTTAAATGCGATGAATTCTTTATATCCTTTTCGAGCGAAAGGGTTAAACATTTAACTAGGAGAGTTTTATGAATCTTGTGAATGGATAAATGAATATCCATGAGAATAGGTAGAAATATTTATCCCTCTTGAGGTTAAATATGTGAAACACTGAAAGGGGAAACTGTCTTTTGAGGAAAAATAAATCGTTTCTCCAAGACAAGGTGGGCCATATGCATCAGGTTGCTGGACTGTCATCGATCTGGTATGCGCATATGCTCTAAAAGACATGGGACTCATGACCCATCCCGAAGATGAGCCAGTTTCTCACTTTCGTAAAACCCTCGAATGAATGAAAAAAAGGGCCCCTGCAGCCCTGCAAGACCAATTATCAATTATCTCAGAAAACTTTTCAAATAGACCATCAAGAAAATGAATAAATATATTCTTTTTGAGGCTGCATATTTGTTCCCAAAGAGATAGTTCTTATAGAAATTGGATGTTATCGACCAGAGTTTAGGTTTTAACCTTTTCAGGTTAAACAGAAGAAACTTTATAGGTGACGGTGAAACACCATTTGCAAGGGTTATGTGTGCGATGTAACGTTCCCTTTTAGGCTACTAGATGGAGTTATGGTGTTACTGTTTCCAACAGTACATAGAATAGCCCTTCCCTCTTTCCGGGGAATCTCCCTCAAAGGTATGTCATGTCACCTCGTCCTGCGTTTCGCCTTGCCTCATTATAGGAGGTAATAAACGCGGACATTTCTTCATTTATTATTCTCATATTCGAGACAAATTCCTGGATCTTCGATCAAAAGAAGCTTGTCTTCACAAACAGTAGCCCGTACACATTTGATGGCAATAAACTGTGTCTTCAAACCATTGCCGAACTTATTCGTCCGGACAATTGGATGATATAATTGGCGAGTGACGTCTGGGGCACTCATTGGGGTTAGAGGAAAGCCTCTCCTTTCTTTTAGAGTCTTTTAGAGCATATGCACATACCAGATCGATGACAGTCCAGCAACCTGATGCATATGGCCCACCTTGTCTTGGAGAAACGATTTATTTTTCCTCAAAAGACAATTTCCCCTTTTAGTGTTTCACATATTTAACCTCAAGAGGGATAAATATTTCTACCTATTCTCATGGATATTCATTTATCCATTCACAAGATTCATAAGCCTTCGTGATTACATGTATACTAAAAATGTTATATATTTATCCTCGACGTTTAATTATTTAACCTTTTTAAAAGGATATTTAATTTAACCTATCAAAAAGGCTAAATATGTAACCCACAAAGGATTAATATGAGTTGAAGTTGAAACACCCTTTAGGAGATAAAAGCTGAACCATTTTTGCTAACAGTGTACGGCAGGGCTTGCCTAACCTTTTTGCCCAACTGGGCCACATTGCCACGAAGGGACCTCCCGCGGGCCGCATCGCCTATTTTTTTTAAATTATTATATTAATAATGCTGCTGCCATGGACCCCTCTAGTGACGATTCTTTTCCTGGAAAGTTTTTTAAATTTCCGGAAGTGCTGCGGGCTGTAGGTTGAGCACCCCTGCCTATGGTCTCCGAAAAGACGCTGCATTTTATCACCTCACTGACGGTCGATCGCCTGGGATCACTTTCATTTCTCCACACCTTTATATTCTTTAGTTACGTTCGCTGATTAATCAGAGATCATTCTCAGGAAAAGTTGTACGTTGGGAAAAGGAGGAAGATGAGGGACATCAAGAGTAAAGGATCTGGCCGCCGAGACGTGATTAGGGGGCTTTGTAGGGTTGCTAGATGTGGCATTTTGCGAATTCAGCCGGCAACCCGGCCCCGAATAGCCTCATTCTTCATTCGCCAACAAAATCGATCCAAGAAGGTTGAGGGGAACTTGCTAGGGGCCACTCATGCGCATCGGACTTTCTGGAAGCATTGGTGGCTGTTCGGGCCTTTTCTCCATCGAGTAAACCTGTCCGCGAACCACTTTTCGCAGCGATCACAGGTAAAATTCTTTAGTTATCGTCTGAGAATAAAATAAAAAAGAAAAGCACGGAAGCTAAGCCATGCTGGGCTTCTGTGCGCGCTTGCACCGAGGAAGGCTCTCGACTTTGCTAAGATATCCCGTTAGAATTCGACAGATTTAAAAGTGCAGGCTTACCCCGACTTGAGCCGACGGATCGGTAAAACTCGCTGCGAACCAGGAAGTTGGAAAATGCGGGGGATTCTATTTGCAGGAAGTGATGGAGGGCGGCAGAGCGAGACTGGGCCAGTTCGACGAGCGCGCGAGTGCAGTCTTCTCGATCGACATTTTCGACAACACTAAGGAATATCTGAGCGTGGAGTTGGAGGGTCTTCCAATGTACCACAACTATCTGTTCCACTTGAATCCCGTCGGTCGAGATGGGGCACTCGGACCGACGGTCGGCATCTACTACAACGCTACCGGTCGGTACTCCGTCGAGGTGGATATTTGCAGGATGTGAAAAAAGTTGCCTTGCGTTACTCTCGGTTATCATCTTCTGTTCCTTAATTTGTTTTAAATAGAAAGATAAAACGATGGAAACTACCTGATCGAGGCGAGTGTGCATAAACTTTTGAATAAATGACCGCGACATGAACACGGAAAAGTGTTAACTTTTTTCGCACCCTGTATAAATGCTCCTTTCTTCCCCTCCCAGAAAAACTCAGGACGCATTCGTCCTTTCTTGCAGATAAGCCGCCGGAAACAACCCAGAAGCCGTCGTGCACGTGCCCCTCCCTCCCTCTTCCCGATTTCGACAACTACCAGTGGCCCGAGGGGGCGTGCGGGCAGATGATAAATCACATCTGTCCCTTCGAGGGAGAGGGTACCGCGTGGTGGTACTGCACGCTGAGCAGGGCCTGGTCCCCCCTCTATCCCAACCTAACGTGAGAATCTACCCTATTCATAGTCCTGGGCGCATTACTGTAAATAAATAAATAAATAAATAAGCTAAAATTTACTAAAGAATGAAAATTACTTGCTCTCCTTGTAATTTAATTGAATGACTAAATTAAATTGCGGTATGAATTAAGTTGTGAATTAAATCAGAGTAATTTTTCCAGGACTTAAATTTCTCTCCCCTGTTGTTCTCCCTACGCGAGACAACACTCTTCTCGATCGCGATGCAGGGAATGTCGAAATCAGGGACTGGACCCAGTGGGATACCTGAATCGTCTTCGGAATTACACCCTGACAGCCAGCGAGGCAATGACGAACCTGTCTTTGGAGGCGCAAGAGCTGACCCTCCTCCCTGGCGACATCCTCGGCCTCTCCTCCTTCCTCCAAGGTGTGTGGCGTTCCGTAAGATTTCCGTTCCGAAGCCTCTGTCGCCCGTCCTCGATTCGAATCGCGTCGTCCCTCAATTTCTTTTCCATCTTGCCTGGCGAGGAACCGCCGGATCCCCAGATAAGCCCTAGGGGACGCACGAGGGCATCTACCTAGGTACGTAGAGCCGGAACTGTCGAATGTCGTCGGAACCCGCGCCGTCTCCTCGGACCGTCGCAACGGTCGGGGGAAGTCTGGTCGAACGGGCAAATTTAGTTCGTCGGGGAATCGACAGAAAAAATGCAATGAGCATCGCGACACTTGAGTGCGAGTTCAAATGAGGAGGGAAAATGCGGATCTCTCTCGGAGGTCTGTGGAGTCGTCTACAGCAGCGGTGCGCTAACTTTTCACGTCGCGCCCCCCTTTTCAATCTTGTATTCGGTCGCGCTCCCCTATCCCCCTTCCTTCCCCCTCCATTGGTTCCGTTTCATCAGAAACTGACTGTAATTTCGGCTAAGTTGGCACGAGAAAGGAAACGCGAATTTAAAAAAAAGTATAATTTTAACTTTATTAAAATCACTGCTATTGAGAATGATGCCATGCCACAAAAACCACAAAAGTGCAATACCTCAAACAAAGACCAATTCAGGATTCAGAATTTCCTAGATTTGTAGTGCTTTTTTTCATTTCTTCCCTTTTTATTTAATTTTGAGCCCTAAAACTCCCTAATTCCGAGAAAAAAGGTAAAGTAAAGGCCTAAGTTTACAGTACCCTTCGCGCCCCCATTTTGCGCACCGCTGGTCTACAGTACAGTGGATTTCTCGTGGCATCGCAACGGAACACGTGAAGTCCATTCGCTCGGTCCCGGTTCACCCCATTTGCACTTGGCCCTGCCGACATATCGGTTTGTCTTGCGGGTGCGAAGGGGATGGAAACCGTAGGAAATCCATTGCATGTCGGGTAGGTCGCGAGAAGTCAAATCCATCTGGCAGGCGCTTTAGCTCATGAATCGTATGATGAATCGAGCCTACATTGAGATTGGTGAACTTCTGTAACTCGGCCACAGTAATGCAACGACCTTCGATAGCAGCTGAGAATGACGGCCATTTTAGAACAACCGGCAGGGGCATTGTACTGGAAGCTCAAGCGTATCTCGAAGTTTTATCTGTGTCACTGCTCCATTAATTATTGCCTAGAAAATAAAGCAAAATGTGTCTACGTTCTAAAGGGCTCACGTACAAAAAAAAATGATGATAAATAAATAATAAACCCAAACAGCATGTTTATGTTAATTTTACGTAAAATTAATGTCAATTTTGTCCATTTTATATCATTTTTACGCAAACCATTGTCAAGATAATGTCAACATGCTTGCATAAATGTTACCTCTGTGATACGTAAACGATGATATAAAATTAACATCAATTTCGCGTAAAATTGACATGCCCGTTTGCATTCCCAATGCCATGTTTACGTTCATTTTACGTAAGATTTATGTTAATTTCCCCCTACCATTCGTGTGTCTTTAACGAGCCAATCAGCACCTTCAAAAAGAATTGATATATTGTATCTCCCACTCGTTTCCATACTTCAGTACTCAAGGGAAGTTGGACGAATACACACATCCTCATTAGCACTCAAGAATACCAAAATAGCCTACCGCTTCCTCCTCCCGGACTGGAACCTTGGGAGAAGGAGTAGATGTTCAGAGGAGCTCTCTTTCATGTAGGATAGAGAAGATTTAGTACTTGTGGAGCTGGGATTCTACTCTTCACTAATCCCATGCACTGCAGTAATAAAAAGCTTAACTTCAGCATTTAATGATTCCCTGAGTCATATATTATAAAAATATATATTATAATTTAATGCTTTCCATCTCGTATATATATTCATCGATTGCATAATAAAAGTGGAAGGATGGTAAGAAAATCTGATACTCTATCAGGAAAGCCATACTTAATAGTATTCGTAGGATGCAGGGAACAAGGGTTCCATCTAGTGAAGAATCTTGGTACTGCAGCTGCAGGATGGTCAGCTAAAGTTTCATATGGATGGTGTGGCGTTAATTTTGCATAAACTTGATATCTTGTACTTCACGTCAAATGGAGTGACGTCTAGTTTATGTAAATTACAGGTACACTTTGGTGACGTAAATATTATAAATTTGACGTAAATTTGACGTAAACGTGATGTCATTTTCATGGCAATCGCAAGAAATTTGCATTGTTTGCAAAGAATTGATATCTTGTTTACGTAAACATGCTGCTTGGGCTTCTTCTGTGCTGTTTACATGGGAGTCGATGAAGTGGAAAAAAGGATCCTGGCGCTTCACAACGCCAAACTTGAAGGAATTCCTTATGATGTACTTGATGTTGTAAGTTGTCCGGTTCTTCCTTCTTTTAAGAATATTTTGAAACTAATCCTAAGGAATTAAAAAAAAAATTATAAGAGGAGCTGAGGTGCTTGCGATTGTTCGAATTCAGTTCGGTCAGTGTTATTGATTTCTCTCGTAAAATCTCTATTCTCCAAACGTACCAAATATTAGAAGTTTCAGGAAGTGAGATAAGGAGATTTGACCACGTCATATCTTCTTACAGATACAGAAGTGCATGGAGCTGCATAGGGCTGCAGAGAACTCAGCTCTAATTAGAAGCGCCTATAAGAACATCGTCAAGGTAAATATTTGTATTACAAGGCTTTGCAATAGACAGTGGATCATTCATTGCTCCATCGTCAATAGCGAAGCCCTTAAAGTGATAATGTTTCTCATGTTTTCTTGCTGATCTATTCCTGAATCACTAGTTCTCATAAGTGTACACGTAAAATAGAAATAAATCAATAGAAATCAATGAAGCATTTATGTATCATTCCAGGGCAGTAGGACATATCAAGTCCTCCACAATTTGATCAACCTGGGAGAAGAAGCTGTTGAGGAATTGTTGAGGAGAAAATGCCCTAATTATTCTCGAATTGCAAATTTTCCATAATTTCCTTTAGACAAATGCACAATAAACTTCATTACATTTTCTTCAAGGCTTTATGAAAATAGTCTAGTAACAGGTTACCACTAGGACTCCTTGGGCTGTATTGTGCTGAAATTTATTTAAATCAGGTCTTCCAAGTCGCATACAGCCGTCTTGATGTAAATTCCGCGTATTTTATTGTATAGAATATTTTGGTTTTGTTTTATTAAATTCATATTTGTGATAACATGAGTCAATTCCAATGTGTGATATGACATTGGTCTTTTCCAAATAACAGGAAAGCCTCAAACATGTGAAGAGTGGGAGCGACTTCAAACACCTAGAAAAGAAACTGGAAGAAGTCATCCAAAAGAAGCACCTCCTGCAATCCTTCATCAGGTATCTATCTCGGGAGTTCAAAGGCGTATCAATATATTATAACTCTTTTTCTATCATGCAATTCTGTCCAATTTCTTTTAAAGACATGCTGGAGAGAGTGAGGAGGAGGTGATGGCGACACATCGTGATCATGTCACAGATGAAGCCTTCCGGCCGTTCATGACCCTGAAGGATCCCGAGAAATGTGGTGAATGGAAGGCCTACATTCGTTTATGCATTCATGGAGAAGTCACATCGAGTAGAAGGTGCTGAAGTAAAGATTTTCATGAGAAACCCATTGAAAGTTCCTGACGGCTCATTCCAGGAACCTCTTGTTGGAGCAGTCTTTTTTGTCCACGTGAGAATCTCCTCCTCTTGACTTATAAACGTGTTCAAGGAAGGGTAACTTTGGATTATAACTGGATTTTTTCCTAATAGACTGCAGAAGAAGCTGAAAGATGTCTTTTGCGACTCCATGCTCACAAACGCAGACTTCAAGGGGAGAGGTACATACCAACTGCTTTTCTAGTCGACAACGAATCAGAAGCTGGCCACATAAAAGAGAGGATGAAGAGTATGGATGTCAAGACTGATACTGCAATTCTTCTCGGGAGAGCAAGTGAAGGTAACCCCATCGGAAATTTAGTGGAAGTCATTATTTGAAGTTCAGATTAACACAGTATTTGTTGTGGAAGCGAATCATGCAAGCGTTCTGCAAAATCTTGTGCTGAAAATTGATAACTTAAACGTTTCCTGAATTCCAGGTGAGCTTTTTCCCAGGACACATACACTGGCAGTCATTGGCAGCAAGCGTCGTATATCCCTGAGTAATTCTGTCGTGACCATGAAGGAGTTCTTGCAAGCCATTGCTAGAAATTCTCAGGGTTGGATCTTAACCAGCGTCCGCTGGATTCGTGAGTCCCACTATGCACAATGATTAGCAAATGTTCCCTGTATTATACATGATGGTACTAATATGCCCCATACTTCGTTAACAAATCAGGAGTAGAGCACCTGCCTGCCCAGTTGAAATTATTGTCGCTGGTAGATTTGGAGTTTGGGTTGGATCCAAGGAGAAGCAGCCAGGACATTGATCAGGAGCAGGTCAGAGACCAGGAACAAGAACCCGAGACAGAGTAAGTTTTTAAATGTTGATCTCAACATGAATGTGCCAGTTAAAATTCACTAAAACATGATTTCTAATCTTCCTGTGTGGACAGTTTGAGGGACAACAGATTAGGAGCCTTTGATGAAGATATGATTGAAACTCTAAGTCCAGATTTGCTTCAGACTCTAGGTATGTTTTACATAACTTGGTAATTCGAGATTCCTTAGGAAGAGTAAATCAAAGAATGACCGCATCCCAATTACATTGCTTGCCAAGAGACTGCCTTAGCATTTAGATTCTTAGAATCAAGTTACATGTATTGCAAGAATAATAAGTGATTCCTTTGTGTATTTCCTGTTTTTCCATTGGCCAGTGACCTCCTAGGACATGCAAGAGTGGGATTGCAGGAGGCCTTACTCATGGAAAATCATGGAAGTTTAATTATTTTTCTAAAATGTTTCACTCATTTATGGGTTAGAAAGATATTCTGTCATAGTGCTCTTCTCCTCAGGTGATCCAGTGACACCTCTCTAGCCGAGCGAGTATTCCGATTATGAACGTGCTGCTGATCCTACCGTTAGGACTCCGTGCTCCTCACAGTGAGAAGGCTCCTAAAGAGGGATTCTACTTGTATAATTCTTCAGGAGATGGGCGGGACTCAGGAGACTCTTGGTCAATTTTTATCAATCCCACATGCCTCACTTAGCTCAAGTATTGGTATATGATCATGGCGATGTCTTCTTAGAAACCAGGAACGTGACCTTTTTGAGAAATCAGGAGAGGACGCATATCCATGGCTCCTGGTTTTGGATGGATGCACCTAATCCTGCTGTCATCATCATTTCATTAGAAAAGCTTCTTGCTGGTCAGTTCTGTGGGATGCATTATGGATGTCTCTGTGAAAGACTGGGAGCCAACTATAGAAATGATTTCTAATCCAAACCTCTTCTTCCTCCAACAGACTTTGGTTCCATGGAGGCAGAATTGGAACATGCAGAATCTCTTTCCTGGAAGACGTGAAAGGTAGTGGACAGCTTGTATCACTTCTCAGCTGACAGAATAAAGTACTTCTGTTGCCTTTGAACCTATTTCCAGCGAATACTATGTGCATTTGCGAGTGTGACCTGTGTATTAATATATTTGTCTCATTGCATTGTGTAATTTTTAATTTGCCTTCCCTTGATATTCATTTGTAAGCTGAATTAATTCTTAAAATGAGATGCTTGCAATTTTTGTTGGATTGAGTGTTTCATTATGTTTTTATGTTCATGACTGCTCAACAAAAGAATGAAGTTTTTCTGCCTTCCCATGTATTGACTATAAGTCTTTACTTTTATTTTTTAAAGTAAATAATTAAAATATTATTTCACGTAATTGAGTACGACATACCTCATATGTACACACTTGAACTTCCGGGAATGCTATTTTGTAAGAAAAAAGAGACATATATCTCTTGCCGTTCATTCTTAGTCGTCAACTTAAAATTATTCTAAGGAGAAATATAACTTCATGTACTAGAACGAATTTAGACGGAAAGGAGACAAATTTTCTGAAATTAACCAGGATCGAAACTGGACCAAAGGGAAAATGTGCCAAATGGCACCGACTCCCTTCGGTATATACGCTCTCTAGGCTGGACCAAAGGGAATTTCTACCATTTGGAACCCCTTCCCTTCAGCCAAGAGCAAGCCCAAATCTGTCAGACCGAAGGGAATTTCTGCCATATGGCACCCATTCCCTTTATTACAGGGCATGCGTGGTTTCTTTCTCTAGATAAAATATTTTTAACGTATGGAATATTTCCCCTTCAGACCTTCTCAATGCATGGAACCCCACATGAACGCAATAAATTAATTCATGGTCATCAATCTCTACTTAAGAATCCCTAAGAATCACCATAATATTGTTTTTGGGACAATGATCCACCTTTTCCCCAATTCGAGATGATTACTAATGCGATTCTTCATAATGGCAATAAATATTTTAAGAAGGTTGCTTGTCAGCATCCAACCGCAAAAGTATCTCAAAGGGTATGCATAGCCAGATGGCATGAAAACGTAAGACATGTGGCTTCGCACTATGAGATTTCCTTGAAACACGATGGACTCGACAATTGCATATTCTGATGTACCTCAATTGTCTACATGCCTAAGGAGGTCTAGGGAAGAAATTATTGAGATCGGAAATATTTCCTCTCTGACAGGAGGAATGCTTTACCAATTTACCGATTGTCTCCATATATTTTGAGCAAACCAAGAAAATCAATGCCATTATGCACGTCAGTACGCAATATCAGGACCAAAATGTAAACATATGTGGAAATGTGGCTATTGAAAAATCAATTCCTTAATTGAAACTTGTTAAAAGCTTTTGCAGATGAGGAACGTTCTCACTGGAAGCGGGAAAAATTTCCGTCATAATAATATTTTTTCACGTCGTCGAGATTGTGGGATGGGCCCGAAACGTCGTAAGCCGCCCTCGATTGCGAAAGATCCAATCCAGGACGGAGGATTCCATCCTGAATCGCCATCTTCAGGATAGGCGGAGAGACCACAGTTGAGGGAGAACTCGTCAGAGAGCGTTGACGGTGCCTTGGGCCGCCAACAGATGAAGCTTTTCATCCGAGCAATCGCATCGATCTTCGGTTGGTTTCTGCCTTCGGGAGTGTCAAAATGGACGAGTTTCGTAACCTCTTTCCGTGAATTATGCGTGGGTAAATGTTCCTCGTTACCTGAAGGACATTCGCTTCGTTTCAGCCGTGAAGAGCACGGAAACGAGGAGAAACGATTCGTTTGAAGGTCATGTTGAGAGTCTTTGAAACAGTGAGGCGACCCTAGCCACTCGGAGACACTGCATGGAAGGCATCGATTTCAGAACGTTGTGAACGCGATCCTATCTCACTCTCATTCGTCACGTAACTGCGACGGGTCTGCTCGAAGGAGGCTGAAAATAAGTGAATCGATGAAATCGATCGTTAGAGTGCCTCTCGAGTTGTTCTCGAGATCAGCCTCTCAGGGTGGACGATGAAGATAAGATGGGTGCCAAGTATGATGTCGCGAAAGTACTTTCGTACTCGGAAACAGTACGACTATGACACCTGGTTGCAGATGCCACGATGTAACGTGAAAGAAAATTTCCTGTCGGTTTCATCCCACCACGGCGTGACTGCACGCCCGGGCGGTAGCTTGAAGGACGCGGAACTATCTGGGACTTTACCACGAAAAATTAATGAAAATTGGTAAAGAGACTAAGGCACTTCCTTGGATTTTTTTTCGACTGAGACAAGAATCTTTTTTTTTTCTCCGTTTTCGGGACAACTGCGCCCAAATAGTGCAAAAAACGATTCCGGTCACTCTGTTCCCAGTCAGAGGCAATACCTTCGGTTCTCGATATGGGTTATTCCACGTCAGTCCGCACACTTTTTTCCTAACCACCTCCGATTTCAATGAAATTCAGAATGCTGATAGTTCTTAATGGGAAAGCAACTACAGCATATTTCAGTGCCATTCATTATGTGTTCTGAGAATGATAACTAATACAAAAAATTCCACAATTTTGGGGCACTTTGAACCCAAGGATCACAAAATTGTCATAACTCCGTTAGTAATGAAGATCAAGACGTTAATATGGTATCGTTGAATAGATTATAAAATTCCCTAGCATATGATATGTAACACATGGTGATAAATTCAATGACCTATGCTTACATGTATTGCACTGACTTTGAAATTTGACCTGACCTTGACCTAAATTCCCACACTCGATTTCGCTAAAACTCTAGAACATCATCAGTCATGACCTCATTCATGTACACTAAAAATTTCGTTCTTTTTTTTATTATTATCAATAGAGAAATGAGCATTTTGGTGTGTGACCTTCATAACATGCGCCGGTATTGCACAATATCGGAGCCAGGAACTCGCACTTGCGCTTCACTTTTCACCAGTAATCTGTTCTAGTCGTTTCGAATTAGCGGTATATCAGTTCACAGAAAATGTACCATGACTTACGCCTCTGGAACTTTGCTTCCCATTTTCTTATTAGATTAGAGTATTTGCTTGGTGAGCCGGATGCTAGAAAATCATTTAATATTGCAGTACCTACTACTGGTACAGCCACGTTATAACGCTCTGAAAGTATACTGCATGAGCGTCTAATTCTACCCTCAGGCAGAAGATGAAGTTAATAGCGGCAATATTGTCCGCTTCCCAAGTCTACAGCTGAAGAGGGGACGTTATTTGATCACTTTTTGGTCTGGGCAGACTTACCTCTGAGGCAAGTTCTTAAGGTTTCACTCTTAAGGTTTCATACTTTGCAGTGGAGCAGCGAGAAAAAATAATGCAACTTTCGAGGAATGAATTTAATTTTACTTAATTCTTATGCAATTTCATGAAAATATGAAATGCCACTCTGTCGTGGTTTAGTGAATCTGAGATAATTACAAAGCTTAAATGTTCTGAAGCCACATCGCTGACGAAGTATGGTACCGACGGATTTATTGTGGCCTGGCCAAGTGATAACACTGAATGGCGTCCTGAATCAAGAAAGCAATATTCTCACTAAAGTCACTTAGTAATTCCTTTTTACTTCCATGTTCCTTTCAAGTTTTTTTTTTAAATAGAAATTTTTGATTGCTCCTGCTTAATGAAATCATCTCTCTAGCCATGACTTCATACACTAGCCTCTAGAGGCATGCTGCAGAGACCGACAAGTGATCAGATAACGTCCTCTCCTCAGCTGTGGACTAGGGCAACGGACAACATTGCCGCTCTTAACTTCGTCTTCTGCCTGAGGGAAGAATTAGACGCTCATGCAGATATACAGGGTGTCCCATTTATCGCGGACGACTTTAATCGTGTATAAAATTATTCCTACTCGAGCAAACTATACCAAATGTTCACAATATTTAGATGCCTTTTTAGCATTTATTGTGACAAAGTTTCAGCCAAAACAAATTCACCAATTACAAGCTATGAACTTTAACATGACCCCGTCGATTTCAAGCACTTTTTTCCAATCGTGCCTGGTATTCAAGCAGCGTTTTCTGGCGCATTTCAACGATAATGTCTCCAAACGCAGCGGTAATACGTTCCTTCAGTTTGTGAATGTCCCTCGGTTTGGTCGCATAGACTTTCGACTTGACAAAGCCCCACATAAAGAAGTCGCACGGCATCAAGTCAGAAGAATAGCCCGACCAGGGCATTATTGATGATCCACGACCCATCTACCGATCCGGGAACTTTTCATTCAGCCGGGCAAGAACTTCTTTACCGAAATGAGGCGGGGCACCATCCTGCACGAAGACCAGATCATCAGCCAATTCTTGTGATTCAATTTCTGGCCAGAATTTCTCTTTGGCATTAAGGATGGTTCGATAAGGAAGGACGATATGCTTGGAAAAGACGAAAGTTATGCCCTGAGGAGATGCACCCCAAAAGCTGAATTTCCCCTCAACTTAGCATCGCGTCAGTTATGTGTGTTGCAAGTTTCATCTGTCTATTCTTGTCCAATTCGCTGGAACCGAAAAAAATTATTTGAAGACGTAACCCCCGAAAATGTGGCCCCAGGGCATGCATCTGAAACTTTATATATATTTTTTAACTCAGTGTCTCAGTAGGCACGTTCATGTCGAGTTTCAGCTTTTCTTGTCACGCTGTTTGATTGAAGCAAAAATATTCCTTTGAAAATATATCCAAAAATGGGCCCCCTAAGGACACGTACCTCTAAAGTCTGATTCTTTCTGAACTCCTCATCCCAATAGATACTTGTGTATGAAGTTTCTAATTTCTTTAGAATATGGTTAGAATTAGCGTCGGTGAGTCACTCACGATCGTATATACACGGAACCAGTTGAAATCTTCCATATGACAACACAGTACGGCGAAGATTGCTCTTCATGGACATCCGTCTTTGGCGAAAATTGATGAAATTAGGAAGCGAACTTATACAAAAGGGATGGCATGCTGATTGATGACAAGGTTGTTGTATTGCGGTTCATTTCCGTGGTGTGGTTCGCGCTTCCTCATCTTAATTTTTTGCTCATTTAATGAACAGGAAACACGTCTTTGTGGGTAGAGGTAACCGATACTATAAAGACAAAATCCATCAACATTTTAAATACACA